TCTGCGCGCCCCCCTCTGTCCTCAGACCAGATGAAGTCGATGTTTGTGAAGACGTTGACTTTAGACATAAATTCACCTGCAGTGACAGACGTGTCAGCGTTCAATCAAAGTTCACATCCTGTTTTCAGAACTCACTCCTCGATCTAAACTTTGTATCCAAACCCGTGTCCAACAAAAGGTTTTTAAAACTGAGGAAAATAATGGTCGACTTCAGGAGACGTGAGATTTGACTGATGTTGTAATTGATTTTCCATGTGAGCAGTTGTTTCACCTTTTATTTACTGTATGTGTGTGTGTGTGTGTGTGTGTGTGCCACCGTTTGTCGACTAAAAACCCTCTTCACCTTTGTGGTTTTAACGCGGTGATTTTTACAGTTGGTGTTTTTTACAAGGAGATAAAAAGACTTTATAACTCAGTAAAGAGTCTCTTCAAACGGAACAAACGTAAAGGGACAAAATGATCAACGAGAAACTGCTTCATCACAGCTAATGTACGAATGTTTGTGCTGCTGGTTCTCGGCTCCTGGAGGAAACAAAAATAATGTTGTGTCTTTTTTTGTTTGTTAGTTACAGATGAAGACACAGTGAAGAGATACTACGCCAAGTTCGAGGAGAGGTTTTTCCAAACCTGTGAGAAGGAGCTGCTGAAAATCAACACGTTCTATTCAGGTCGGTGTTTGAGATGAAGCCTCGATTTTTAACTTCAACTCTTTGCCTTAGTCAGGAGTTAAATAAAAAAAAAAAAAAAAAAGAAATTTAACACTGAATATTCCAGTATTATTGCTGGAAATTCCTACTTTTATCAACTTGAAACTTCCTGTGTTTGACCACTAGTCGGCGACCTCTGTGTTTAAACACTGAGTTCTGTATTTGAGGCCAGACGGTTGCTTTCACTCCTGTGTTTTTGTCTGATGCAGCGATCATTTCGCTGCGTCGTCGTCGTGGTGTTACCGTTGGTTGTGTGAAACCATCAACACCAACTCTCCCCATTCTTAACTGAACGCCTTATGTAAACCAACATGGTGACATCACACACAGGAGTGTGTGGGTGAGGTGTTACGTGGGTTGGAAGCCTTGTTGTATTTTTGTATTCTGGTGTGTTTCCATTTCCCTTTCGGTCCTGAAGAGTTGGTTTGTGTAACTGCAGCTTCTGTAGGTCAGGCCTGGACCAAGGCTGATCCCACTTGTAATGATGGTTGTATTACTGGCAGATGGATGGATGGATGGATGGATGGATGAGCGGTGCAGACGAGGAACAGAACGTAAATAACCAAGAACCTTGGTCCACTGGACATTTACTTACTTTACTGCCGAGGACATTTCTACAGCCTTCAGAGGAGACCTTTCCTGTCTTTAAATACTGTATGATATGATGGAGACGTCAGTGGAACATTTATCGATTCTCCTCCAAATATGTAGGAGGAACACAGACATTTAATTCTGGACAGAAATGTATTTTTAAATCAAAATATTGATTTGATTTGAGTGAACAAAGTTCATCTTTATTCTGTTTATTTTTCAAAAAAAAAGTTCATCTTTATTCTGTTTATTTTTAATAATTAATAACTTTAATGCAGCTTCACAGAACTGAGCACTTTAATGCAGCTTCACAGAATGATTTTATCTGTCTGTGGTCCACTTACACAAAAAGGAAAAAAAATGCAACAATAAATGTTTTAAGATGCAACCCTGCAGCCAGCCCAGCAGGGGGCACTAGTGAGCATAAATGTATTTTTGTCTTCAACTCTCGTTTTTCTACCACGTTCACTCAGACAAATGAAGCAGGGAATGTCAGTTGTTTCCAACAGACACTTCATCATCAGTCTGTGTGTGTATACTGTACAGGGCTTCCTAGAACAGTGGGGACATGTATGTCGTAACAGACCTGTGGTTTGGGGACCGGTGTCGTTTTGGGGACATTTTCCAGGACGCAGTTTCTTAGAGTTAGTATAGTCATATATTTACATTATAATAATAACAGTGCTATACGCAGACGTGCACTGTGTCCATGAACAGTTGTTTGTTGATTAGAAAAGCTGCCGATGTTCAGAGAGAGAGTGGACCTGGAGAGAGAGGTTAATAGAAGATGCTCCTTTCATACAGGGATATTTCAGTCTTTAAAAGGGTTCACTGACCTTTCAAAGCCACGGGTTGGACCACACTTTCATCATTGTGGGTTACTGTAAATCCACAGCAAAAAGGCGCCTGCACACATCAGTGCTGCAGCAGTGTATCCTTTTATCCTCTGTGTTACTGAGAGCAGAGGAAGATCAGTGGGTTCTTCAGAGCCGACCCGAGGTCCGTCTGCCTCACGGTCCAGTTCTCTGCTGCAGAAACAACAAAACACTCCCAGTGTCTCTGATTTAATCAGATTTAGTCTCAGACTTCCCCCATGTCTCCTGTTGTTATCACATGACAACAGTTGGACTGATGTGGATCCAGACGTCAGAACCTGTGAGGCAGCCGCTCTAATCTGTGGGAATATGGTGTTGCTGTGAACTCAAGCGACAAAGCGTGAAGGTCATCAACTGCCCTGACTGTCTGTTGGAGTGAAGCTTCTGTTCGACTGTTGTCTGTAAATACACACAGTGTCAAAGGAAATGAAGAAGGTTTCGTACGTCAGCAGGTCACGTGGTTCGGTTCGGGAGAAGAATCAAGTCCTAACGCCAGGACGTGAATGGTTAAAGAAGAAAATAGTGGGTCGGTGCAGGGAAGGAGGGAGAAGAGAATCGAATGAAATGCACTTTGACTGTGGCTGACTGACCCAGATAATGATCAGACTCTGGTTTAAGGTTTTAGAAAAACCCGTCTTCAGTCAAGGACATTAGTGTCAGGTCCAGAAGTTGACATTTCTCACAAGACTCAGTGGCACAAAGAATGTTATAAAAGTATTCACATAAAAAATTAATAAGAATCTGTTCTGGCAGAACATGGAATGCCAGGTTCAAATACATTTTATGTCTGGAAAAAAACCCTGAGTCAACTCTCGGCACCGGAGCTTCTTCTGACTGACTGTCTGTTATTTTGTTGTCTGTAGAAAAACTTGCGGAAGCGCAGAGACGTTTTGCCACGCTGCAGAACGAGCTGCAGTCGTCGCTGGACGCCCAGCGCGAGAACAACGTGCCGCCCGGTCTGAGAAAACGCAAGACGGTGTTCCATCTGTCGCAGGAGGAGCGCTGCAAACACCACAACATCAAGGACCTGAAGTTGGCCTTCAGCGAGTTCTACCTCAGCCTCATCCTGCTGCAGAACTACCAGGTGACTGGATACACACACACACACACACACACACACACACACAGACCTAACTCTAATCCTGTCTTTGTGATTCCATGTCGTTCCCAGAACTTGAACTTCACTGGTTTTCGTAAGATCCTGAAGAAACATGACAAGATCCTGGACACGCCTCGTGGAGCCGACTGGCGTGTGGCCCACGTGGAGGTGGCACCGTTCTACACCTGCAAGAAGATCACGCAGCTCATCTCCGAGACTGAGGTCTCACACACACACACACACTCACACACACTCACAGTCAGAAGAACTGCCAAACACATCAACGTCCATTCAAACGTCTGTTGTCTTTTGTCTGTGTCTCAGACCATGGTGACATCAGAGCTGGAGGGAGGAGACCGTCAGAGGGCCATGAAGAGGCTGAGAGTTCCTCCTCTGGGAGCAGCTCAGGTCAGACCGTCAACTATTTGTTGTTAAAAAAAATAAAGTCCTTCTGGACAGTCACGATGTGATTATATTTAGTTAAAAAAAAATAAAACTCCTGTCGTTGTAAATTGTGACCAGAAACTATTTTCTGACAATAATATTGACACAGATACTGGTACAGATACATTTTCTTCAGTGTGTCCAAATGTATAGACTGTCCATTAGAGGGATGATCACTGATTGGACGGTTGAAATATGATTTTCATCGTTCTGCCCATGTGTTAAAAAAATTATATTTAGTAAAAAAAAATAAAACTCCTGTCGTTGTAAATTGTGACCAGAAACTATTTTCTGACAATAATATTGACACAGATACATTTCCTTCAGTGTGTCCAAATAACAACAAATGTATTAACTGTCCATTAGAGCGATGATCACTGATTGGACGGTTGAAATATTATTTTCATCGTTCTGCCCATGTGTTAAAAAATCTGATATTTTTTTTATTTTTAACCCAAATAATGTGTTAATTTCGACAACACCAACTGACTGATGAAAAAACGTTAAAATCTAATCACACATGAGTTTCCGATTTTATTGAACACTTCATCAAAAACTGACATTAAAGATGGTCAAAAGTCAAAGTTGCTGATTACAAAACAGAAGTTCATTTCCTGTCTGACAGATGTGTCATAGTGTTATTACTGTTATTACTGTTATTACTGTTATTAAGAACCTAGTTACTGTAGTTACGGGCTGTAAAGTCACGGTGCAGAGGATAAACATGAAGTCAGAACCGAACCGGAGAAGCCTGTCATAGATACGGTGAGATGGAAACGCAGATGTGAGGAGACGGAGACGGAGACGGAGAAACCATGAGAGGCTTCATTGATTTTATAAGTGCCTTTCCATCGGCCGCACACACAGGATATCCTCCGAAATACTAGAGGCTGGTGGTACTTTAGGTTATATCTGCTGTCGTTACTGCGTTAATCACTGTCGTACCTGCCTCGTCTTGGACGACGTGAGCGTTGATCTTTGAATGGACCTCACGGAACTGGGTCAAAGTTTGACGACAGGTTAAAGTTTCTGTTACAATTTCATATTTTCTTCTTCACACCTTTTATTCATTTGTTTGTTTGTTTGTTTGTTTGTTTGTTTTCTCAGCCTGCTTTGGCCTGGACAACCTTCCGCGTCGGCCCCTGCGTTGGCCTGGACAACCTTCCGCGTCGGCCTCTTCTGCGGCTTCTTCATCATCCTCGCCATCGCGTTTGTTCTGACCGGTAAGTTCTCAGGAAACACTTTCCTTCTAGAACGTTCTACCTGGGCCGCAGATGAGTGACCCGTCTGTGGTTCTGCGGTTCTTCAGGCGCCGTCTTCATACGTTTTGAAAACGTGTGGCCTCTGGTGAGGATCTATCGCGGTGGCTTCCTGTTGATCCAGTTCCTCTTCCTGTTGGGCATTAACACGTACGGATGGAGACAGGCGGGAGTCAACCATGTTCTCATCTTTGAGATCAACCCTCGGAACAACCTGTCACACCAACACCTGTTTGAGGTCAGAACGTGACGACGTGAAGACGGATCTGAACTGGGTTTTTCTTTCTCTGGGCTTCAGTTTTTTCACGTGTTTTACGGTAACTCTCCTGCGTCACTGCTCCTCAGATCGCTGGTTTCCTGGGAGTCTTGTGGTGTCTCAGCATCCTCTCCTGTCTCTACTCGGAGTACACCCACATCCCCATGCAGATCAACCCGCTCATCCTGTACGGCTTCATGGTTCTCTTCCTCATCAACCCCTTCAAGACCTGCTACTACAAGTCACGATTCTGGCTCCTCAAACTGCTGGTCAGTGTCACCGACTCCTCCGGTCCAGATCGACTGAACTAAGAATTGTCAGTCGATTTCATCGGCTGGATATTAGCAGAATTACGTAGTATCTGTAAGAATCTTTATTGTTTTTTCCTCCGATAATGAAAACCTGAACACAATGCCTGGGTTTCACCAAAACATTTTTGGGCACAAACGGCTGTATATTAAAGTGAAAGCCACTAGATGGCAGCATAGCAGCTCATTTATCGGCAAAAAGTAGGGATATCGGACATCCCTACATAGAACCCATAAATGATTTACTGATTTAATATAGCGTCTGGCCACTAGGGTCAAGTTTCAAAATAGAATTCAGTGTAGTGCATTATGGGTATTTTTTCGACGTGAGTGACACGAGTCAAAAGTCGTGTTTTTTTTTTTTTTTTTTTTCCTGGACTCAAACAGTGACCAGGAACGTATTAAATCATATCGTGGCACGAGGGTAAAAACCTGATCCTTTTTTGTCTTTTGTACAATTTCAACAGACATTATAAACGTGCACGTGTGAGAGAGAGTGCACGTGAGACAGAGGATGGTGCAGTGAGACAGAGGGCAGCAGACTGCAGAGATAATAGAATGCAGCCGCGTCTCGGGGGAGGTGGAGGCTGTGACTGTGCAATCATTACGGGCATAGATCTATCAGTATGTTGATGCCCTTAGCTCCTCTGTCCCTCCTCCTCCTCTTCTTCCTCCTCCTCTTCTTCCTCCTCCTCCTCTTCCTCCTCTTCTTCCTCCTCCTCCTCCCCCGCAGCAGCAGCAGCTCCTCCTATTATCCCTCTCTCACAGTTTTGTCTTTAATCTTAAATCTCTGAACATGAAGGAGTGGAAACGGCCACAATAAAACCACGTGTTTGCAGTTTATGTTTATATGGTAGAAACAAATGTAATAAATACTGTGTTTCAGTGAAGACGAGACGGAGGACAAACTTTTCATTATGGGACAAACAGCAGGGACAAACAGCTGGATTAACTGCTGTTTGTCCACGAAATGAAAACCTCGGCAGCTGAGCCCCGACACTGTGTGTGTGTGTGGGAAACGGCCACACAATCAATACAAACTTTGATTGACATGTTGATAGAACCACATAATGAGCTGATACAGTTCTGTAAGAGGAGATCAATATTGGACATTTGCAGTGGAGACGGCGTTTGTGCAGGTTTTTTTTTTTCCATCTTTTTCCATCTCGGCCCTGAATGTCACACGGAGCCTGAGGCGGAGACGGAGACGGAGTTGACTGGGTCGGGGTTTGGACTGTTTTATGAAGGAGGTCCAATAACTGAGCTGCAGCTACAGAACAACAGAACAGCAACATTAATACACACACAGACAGAGAGTGTGTGTGTGTGTGTGTGTGTCATTAGTGTCGTGGTGTGGCTGCTGCTGATAAGCTGCTGTGGAGCTTTTATCTGCCGGTGTTTTATTCATAATTAATAGGGTCGTTTCCTGCTCGGTGCATCCCTGTTGAAACACTCTGACAATTACACACTAATTAATTGTTGATTGACTCGGTCACAGTGCTGTAAAAACACTCACACAATCAGGGTTGAACGGGTTAAGACCATTTAACCAGTGCGACGTCCAGACGTTTTCTGCAGCGAACGTTTCCGGGTTTTTGAAAAAAAAAGAAAATACTGTCGATTCTCCTGACGTTTCTGTTCCGTTCGTCCATCTTTCCTTTTTCCTCATTTACTCTTTATATTTTTTTTTTCTCTCCTTCCAGTTCCGGGTTTTCACGGCTCCGTTCCACAGAGTGGAGTTTGCCGACTTCTGGTTGGCCGATCAGCTCAACTCCCTGGTGTTTGTCCTGATGGACCTGGAGTATCTCATCTGTTTCTACATCTTTGAGCTGCAGTGGGGCAACAGCAGAGGCCTGCTGCCCGTTTCTAAAGGTGAGGGTTCGATTCCACACACACTCATGAAACAGTGGGTTAGCTCAACATCTGATTCAGCCGAAGGTTTGTCGAAGGCTAGCTCTAGCATGCAGGTGTAATTTTTTAGATTTTTTAGGGAACACAACAATGACAGAGTTGTCACTGTCCTGTCAGCAAATGTGATGTGAACATGGTTTTAATGTCTGCCCACTGTCACCACCAACACTGGCCGCTCAGCCCCCGCTCTGACAATTAACATGGAGCTAATGGAACATAAATGTTTGGCCACAAGGGGGGGCGGGGGGGTCGTGATGTGACCTTCATAATAATGAGCTTTTCTTGGTAGCAGCAGATGTGAGTCATGATGAGAGACAGAGAATGTTGACGTTTCTGTTCTGTTCCGTTCCGTTCCAGATGCCGGAGCGTTCGTCTGCCACAGCTACTCGTACGGACTTCGTGCCATCATCCAGTGCATGCCCGCCTGGATCCGCTTCATCCAGTGTCTGAGGCGTTACCGCGACTCAAAGAGGGCCTTCCCTCACCTGGTGAACGCTGGGAAATATTCCACCACCTTCTTTGTCGTCACCTTCGCGGCGCTGTACGCCACGCACAGAGGTAAGAGGCCGATCTTACGAGAATTCACCGAATGTTTCGTTGAAGGAGTTCAGTTTCGTTAACAGAGAGCTAGCCTACTGGAGAACCGTCGTCTCTCTCCGGTGTTTGTTCTCTGGGAACGTATGCGGCCCAAGCTAGCTTTCCCACCGCTACCTCACGTTTAGGGAGAGAGAGTGATTCTTTGACAATCATGTTCTTTCTGCTCCAGTGAGGGCAGCAACAACGTCCAGTCATTTAGGGTACGTTACTAAACGTTACTAAACGTTACGTTGCTAAATCCAGTAAACTGTAGCTTCAGTTTCCGTCTTTTCTCCTTCAAGCTTCCCTCTTGACACTCGTGTAAATATCTCAGTTGTAACAAGTCATTATCTGAGCTACTGTTGCCTTTCTGTTTAGCATGAATTCCAGTCAGGAGTTTCACTCTTCCTGATCCTGGTTATAGGTCACTGAGCTCCAGGAAACAAGCCACTCTCTGAAACATTTGTGTTTTGAATCTTTCATGTGAAGATACTGACACTTTCTTGGTCTTAGAGTCACACACTATCATCTAACAGTCAGGGTTTGGACGTCGGGGTTTGATCCTAAAGCAGAGACTGATTCACTTTGACAAAGAACAAAAAAAACACACTGAGGTGAACGGCCGAGAAGCGGTTCATTTTGGAGAAAAGGAAATAAAACATCAAAAACTGCCAAAACAAAAAAAAATTCTCAGTTCACTCAAACAGAAACACACACACAGACACACACACTCCAGTTCCCTCCACGACTTCACACACACAGCAGGATCGACTGGTCACAGTCAGGATTTTAAAGGCAGCAGATTAGAACCAGCCTCAGGTGTGTCTCGTCTGCAGCACCTGGGAACTCAGGCCACGCCTCCAGCCTCACACACACACACACACACACAGTATTTGTTGTAGTATTATGTGTGTTCAGTACACAGCGGTGACCTTGAGTTTCCAGAACCTCAGATTTTTTCTGCAGCTTTGAAGTGGAAATATCAGTGGTTTGTCGAACACAAGTGTGAACTCAGAAGGTTTTTGTAGATTTAAGTCCACGTCAGGAGGAGAGGAGGGAAACCTGCAGAGCAGTGATTAGAGTTCTGGTTAGAAGTCCAGTCACTCTCCGCAATTATTCACATTCAGATTCTGTATCACAAAGGAGTTCGTGTTCAAAGACACAGCAGTCGGGGTTCACTTCTTCTCCTCCTCAGATATTTGTCCTTTTTATTTATTTTTTTCATTTCAAAGCTGCTGTTTTCTTCTCCCATATTCAAATTCTTCATCAGACGTCAGTGAAATGTCAGCGGTGAAACATTACCTTCACACTGGTGAACAGTTAAAAGCTACTTTCCTGCTGGAGTTTTTTATATGAAATTTGAATCAGTGAGCTGGTTTCCTAAGCTGAGCAGCAGCAGTGATCTGATAAAGACAGACCCAGGAAGAGAGACAGACAGACGGACAGACGGTCGGACAGACAGACAGACGGTCGGACAGACCTGCGTTCTCGTCCGCAGCTCAGAAGGAAAGTCGTCTATTAAATCATCTCCTGCTTCCTCCTCTGGTCTGAGCTCTAATGGCCTTCGCTTCATGTCTTATTCTGTGTGAAGCTGCTTCGTCCTGAATGATAATGGAGGCCCAGACTGATCACTGGTTAAATGATGGAAGCACACACACACACACACACACTGACACACACACTGACTCACTGAAATGATTGAGGAAATTGCCTGCTGGGAAGGCAGTGTTTTTTTATGTAGAATTTATTGTTGTTTGTTTTTGTTTTTTTTGACTCTTTGATGAATGAAAACTAACGCTGGATCAACCTGACAACAAGACACGGACCAATGAGCTGTGGCAAATATTTAAACCAATGAATCAATTAATTAGTCAATTGATACTAAACTGGAGGAACACGTTAGCGTGAGCCAATCAGAGCTAGGTTTGTGGGCTGGTAGGCAGGAGGTCCAATCAGAGTGGACCTGTGACCTGTAGTAGAATAAACAGAAGAACTCTGATCCACCAGGAGAATAGTTATTGATTCATATTAATTGGGACAAAGACTAAGTTACAATTAAGTCTAAACAAAAAGATTTATAGCATTATTAAATTTAAAAAATTTTAATAAACAGACAAATATTTTGCTCGTGAGTTCACGTCACGTACATGTTCCTCTAATATTTTTTTCCTATCCTCCAACTTTTTTTCCAGACCTGACGTTTACTCTGTGAAATGAGTTTTTAAGTTTTAAAACAACATTTTAAGTTTTTAAAACAACATGACCTTTTTGACCTTCTCAAATGTCAAAGACGTCATTTTTTTAATTTATATTTGTCATGTAAACACGACACACGTCATTTTTAGCCTTTAATGTGAAATATGAAGTTTTGTTTTTTTTTCACCGTAGTGGATTAGAAAACCGACGCCCGGTCGTTTGTCGCTGCTGAAACAAACAAACAAACAAACAAACAAACAAACAAACAAACAGCTGCAGCAGTTTTATGTTCACAGCTGTTACAGACAGTGTGTGTGTGTGTGTGTGTGTGTGTGTGTGTCACCTTCATCCCTAACCCCGTCACACGGCTCCAGCTCCTGATGACCTCACTGCTGATTCACACCACTGTTCCAGGAAATGCCTGCAATTTTTTTTTCTACGGGAAATGAATGAATAAATAAACCGTAAATTTAAGAAGTAAATCCCGGGTTCTCCGGTCGAGGTGTGTGTGTGTGTGTGTGCGGTTTCTCCCGATCTGAACGTGTCATTCATCTCTGATAGATATGGGTCAAATCTCCTCTATTTTTGGAAATCCACTGCCGTTCCTGGTGTCACTCTGGGGTTTGAGGTGAAGGCAGTTTGGTGGAAGCCGAGCTCCGAGCTGGGAGTTTCTGTCCACGTTAGTGATTGGACTCTGTCATGAAACTGTAGCCTGAGCACACACTCGGACGGCTGCAACCAGAGACCAGGATTTCCTGGTTGAGGCAGAATTCCCAGGTCTCGTGTGACACAGTGTGTGATCGTACACAGAGCAGGAGGATCAATACACAGAGCAGTGGCTCCAAACACACGGCTGGTACAGATGCAGCGGAGTTCACGCCGCTTTAAGCCTGAGCTTCATCCACAGAGAGGCCGAGGAAGGACGACAGGAAGTAGATCTGACCAAAATAGAAACGGTCGACAGGAAGGAGGAGAGCGACCAGTCAGAGAGACGGAACGGATTTAAAAGAAATGTTGAAACAGTGGCTACAACAACAAAGAAGAAAGACGTCAGTTAGAAGGATGGGAGAGGAGAGGAGGGGAGGAGAGGAGGAGGGGTGAGGAGCAGTAATGACCAGACCGAGGCCTCACACATGTCCACTGGACTCGGCCAGAATTTAAATGAGTCCAGAGCCGACAGATTTTATAAGTTCATTTCATTTATTGAGCCTTTGTTCATCATCAGGAGAGGAGCTGAAACAGAGTCCGACCTCCTCCTCACCTGAGGAGAACAGCAGCAGTGACAGCAGCAGCAGTAACAGCAGCAGCAGCAGCAGCAGCAGCAGCAGTAACAGCAGCAGCAGTAACAGCAGTAGTAACAGCAGCAGTGACCTGTGACCTGTGTTGACCTCTGCTCAGAGTCTAATCAACGTCCCTGTGTTTCAGCACCAGATTAGATCCAGTTTCTCCTTCAGAACCGTCCAACCATAAACACGACTGTTTTCAAATCTCTGAACCTCTTTGTCTTCTTTGAACAGTTTAAACGCTGTATCAGACCAGAAGCACTGGGATGGTGGGCTCTGATTGGCTGATTGTTTACAGCTGATCAAATATCAGTGCATCTTAAACACATGCTGTTGTTCAATATATCATATTATATTAGTATTTAAATGGAAAACTCCCAGTGTGCAGTCAGCTGTGAGTCGTACGAATGTATGAGCCTCAAATGAGCTCTGTTTTTATTCTCCTTCAGTCTCTTGTACCTGAGAACAGGTACAAGAGACTCATGCTCACACATGTGTGTTGATGAGACACAGGGTCAGTGACCTGTGACCTGTGTTGACCTCTGCTCAGAGTCTAATCAACGTCCCTGTCCGTGCTTTAACCCCTGGTGTTAACCAGCCTGGTGGGAAACAGAAGGGTTAAAAACTACGACACTCTCAGAACCTCAGAACCTCAGCCCTCAGAACCTCAGAACCACAGGCCTCAGAACCTTGGGCCTCAGAACCTCAGGCCTCAGCACCTCAGAACCTCAGAACCTCAGACCTCAGAACCTCAGAACCTCAGGCCCTCAGGACTCAGAACCTCAGAACCTAAGAACCTCAGAACCTCAGAACCTCAGGACTCAGAACCTCAGGCCTCAGAACCTCAGAACCTCAGAACCTCAGAACTCCCATCACTGGACATGTTCCTCCAGTCCAGTCGACCGTCCGGTCGTGACTGTAATCTACGGCTGAGAAACCTCCGTCACTCAGCTGATGGAGACAACAGCAGTGATTCTCAGTCAGAACTGTCCCCCCTGATCTGCTCCCTGGCCTCTCATTGGCCGACGGCAGGAAGAAGCTGTGACTGTGACAAATGGCAGCCAGACCAGTTGCCGTCTGGGTCTGAGGAGACCGTGTTAGGCCAACGAACGAGGCCCTGATGGTCGGGCTTCAACCAAGAGCACAGACCGACCGTCGGTGTAGGTCATTAATGTAGGTCATTAGTAGAAACATATATTATGGTATGTCATACAGGTAACGTGGCCCATATTCACTGTTATTGGAGAGAGTTTTCATAATGAATTAATGACATAATTAATTAAAAAAAGGTTAATTGGTCAAACTAAACTTTACATAGTCAGTAACAAAAATCAACAAATAATAATAATCAAATTATAAGTGTCTCCTCCAATAGATGATTGTAATTATATTATATTATTATTCAACTCATTGTTGACTCTGTGCAGCGGACTCTTCTGGACTCGTCACTGTATGAGATTAAAAACGTTCACCTTGTTATTAACAGGAAACGTTAGAACTAATAAATCAGCCCACGAAGATGGCTCGTGTTATCGTGAAACAAGGGCTCCATCTAGCGGTCAAATGCTTATAGAACGTTTCACTTTATTCGTCATGAAAGCATAGAGAGATGGAATACATTTTTTTTTAAATGTTTTAAACTTATGTTTGTTTGTCTGTTTGTTCCAGAACAAGGGCACACCGACGCCGACACGTTCTTCTACATGCTGATCGTGTTCTCCATCATCAGTTCTCTGTACACACTGATCTGGGACCTGCGTATGGACTGGGGCCTGTTTGACCGTGGAGCTGGAGAAAACACCTTCCTGAGGGAAGAAATCGTTTACCCACACAAGGTGAGAATTCAACCGACAGTCTGATAACGTCTGACAGAGACGTTCAGACGTGGACTTGTCTTTGAAGGTTCTCCTCAGAACTGTTCAGATCAAAGCCACACTTTTATTAAAAGACGTTTGAATTCTCATCACTGAAGAGGTTTGAAACCCCCCCCTCAAAAATCTTCAACCTTCGAACAGTGATGGAAGTCCACGTTCTCTTGCAGGCGTATTACTACTGCGCCATCCTGGAGGACGTCATCCTGCGTTTCGCCTGGACCATCCAGCTCTCTCTGGTCACCATGACCAAGATCCACTCTGTCGGCGACATCGTAGCCACCGTGCTGGCTCCTCTGGAGGTCTTCAGGTGGGTCCATGCTCCGTAGTGTGTGTTTTTCCCAAACGTGTTGGTGAGTAAACAACGTCTTTCTCAACCTAGGGTTCGCGGCCCTTGTCACAGCCTTTGATATTTGATTTTGTTTCTAAACGTTAAATATCTGGTTGGAGAACCAACATCCAGTGAACAGTTTAAATATTTTTAAACATTTATTTGTGAAATACTTTCAATTCTAAATATTACTAGTTTGTTTATATTACACTACGTCCAGTAGGGGGCAGTTGGACCTCGAACATTGTTGTACTAGACATTAAAATAATTTTTTGTAGTTGTCATTTATCATATGTTTGAATTGAAGTATTTTGAAGAATTATTTATCTGTCTTGGTGTAAAAAAAAAAAAACAAGACAAACAAGGTTGGAAATTTCCAGAAACTTCCAGAGATTCATGTCCAGAGACATGACCTCCAGGACTCACGTCAGAAAACACAAAAACGTTAAAAAAAAAAAAAGTTTCGATTTCATTAATATTTACGGTAATCAGAGGTAAATCGTGTAATCCATTCCCGACTCCAACAATCCCATAATCCCTTCACATCCGGTGAATCACCTCCGGGTCCCTCCCCCTCGTCTGCAGGCGTTTCGTGTGGAACTTCTTCCGTCTGGAGAACGAACACCTGAACAACTGCGGTGAGTTCCGGGCCGTCAGGGACATCTCTGTGGCTCCGCTCAACGCCGACGCCCAGACGCTGCGGGAGCAGATGATGGACCAGGAGGACGGCGTCCGCAACCGCTCGGGCAAAAAGACCTGGAAGAGATCCCACAGCCTGTCACTCCGGCGCCCCCTACTGTCCACATCACAGTAAGACTCAATGTTGACATTTGAGTAGAAATATTTTAGTATAAACTAAAAATATTTTAGTGTATCTTGGTATATGGAACAGCTGGAGAACAGTGTCAGGAGTGATCTGTGATAGAAGAGTGTCAGCTAAGGTGAAGGGAAAGTTTTACAGGACGGTGGTGAGACCAGCCATGATGTATGGTTTAGAGACTGTAGCGGTATATTATTGTAAAGACATGAAAAATTTTTTGAATGAACATTTTCATTTTCAAAAAACATTTTTCAAAGAAAATTTAAAAAATGTTTTTTCAAGAACATTTTTTAAAATTTTTCAAAAAACAATTTCAACAAAAAATATTTTTAAAAAAGACTTTTCAAAAAGATTTTTTCAAAATTTTTTTTTTGAAAATTTTCAAGAAATTATTTTTTCAAAGATTTTAACCAAAATTTTTCAAAAACTGACCAATTTTGAATGACAAGATTCTCTTTAGGAGTGACAAGAATGGACAGAATCAGGAATGAGGTCATTAGAGGGACAACAGAGACAGGAAGGTTAGGAGACAAAGACAGAGAAGCCAGATTGAGATGGTTTGGACATGTGCAGAGGAGGGACAGTGGAGACATTGGTAGAAGAATGTTAGAGATGGAGCTACCAGGTAGGAGAAAGAGAGGAAGGTCAAAGAGGAGACATATGGATGCAGTGAAGGAGGACATGCAGATAGTTGGAGTCAGAGAAGGAGATGCAGAGAACAGGGAGAGATGGAAATCAATGATTTGCTGTGGAAAAATGGACAAAGCCGAAAGAAATTGAAGAGTGTATCTTGGTATAAAAATTTGGAGGATTTTAAGTAGTTCTATTCCTCCCTATTAGATGTAGAAAATATTTTTTTAAATAAATTTTCCAGGTAATGTCTTTAATTTTATTTAATTGCAAACTCAATTCCCTTCTTAGACCAAACTAAACCCTCTGAGGGGGAGTTCTGGCCCACGGGCCGTATGTTTGTCACCCTGCGTCAGATCAAACCATGAAGTAAATCCTGTTTATTTTATATTTTTTACATCTTTTTTCTCCTCTAGATCGAAAAAGGACACGAAGGTGCTTATTGAAGACACGGATGACGAGGCCTTCAGCTGAGCCCCCCCCCCATCTTTAACACACACACACACGTATACACACACACCCAGTTCTATACTTATACAGACCTCAGTCACCGACTCTCAGCCTTAACATTCACTCCTGCAGTTGTAATAATTAACCTCTGTGTAAACCTTTAACTCAGCAAAGACTGCCAACCTGAAGGTGGTCTGTATAAGTATAGCACACACACACACACACACACACACACACCTACTAAAGCACAAACACAGTGTCATTGTGAGGTGAAGGACAGACGTCACGGTGAAGATCAACCTCCTCTCAGACCTTTCTGAAAGTGCTGTTTATCTTGGGACTTTTTTCTTTCTTTTAAATTTGCCTTATATATATATATATGTTTTTTTTTCTGGGCTACACACGACTGTTTGCACACACGCACTGTAACTCCAACACCAGGATCAACGGGGAGACGACGGAGTCAATCAGACCTGATCGTGAACCGGACACAGCATATCAAAAAACCAATCCACTGGTTCCACCGCGTTGGTTCTTTTTTATATTCCACCCGTTTCTTCTTCTTCTTCTTTTTCTGCCGGTTGTTTTTACCTCAACAATCACTCAGTCTTTGCAGAGGCACTTGCAGGAAAAGTGCATTTTAATTCACAAAACAAGAGGAAAAGTTTGGATTCAAACCTTTCCAGTCTGTGAAGTTACTTTGTAACATAAATATTTAATATCTTGGATGTGCATTATTATTATTATTATAATTATTATTACTACTCTGTTGTAGTCGCTCAGTACTTCTACATGTGTTGTTTATACTAGTCAGACTAGTACAATGATGATTCTTAATGTATTTTATAACGTTTGGAATGTTTTCTCTTGGTTAAAACTGTGCCAAACTTTTAATAAGTCTCGTGTCAGAAACCCCTTCGTCCCCGACTTTGAAAAAATTTGATCAAAAACGTTTGTGGCATCACGTGGTTTCTTGAAGGGCCCTGGTAGCTTCAGTCTGTTCGATGTGCATCTTTGCGATTAACTACCAAAGCCTGGTTTTTATGAATGTGTTTTTGTAGCAGTGGCAGCTTCGTCCGCTGAGCCCCGTCCACGTGAGTCAAACGTAACAAACCCAAACGCCTGCAGGGTTTTTCTGTGTCCGTTCAGGCTGTTGTAACAGGCAGCCGTTTCCTCCTGTAGGGACTGTTTGAACTAGTGTAGTATTTCTGTCAGTGTAGTACTATAGAAAAGTAGACAAACTCGGTGTGTTGTATTTCTGCCGTCAGTTTGCCTCGTGAACAGGCAAAAAAAAAAAAATTACAGAAAATGTTGCCATATCTGTTAAAAAAAACAAACAAAAACAAATTGGTTGTTTTCAAGTCAGGAAACAAAATGGCCGCCTCCAGTTAAGTTGTATTTGAGCTGGTTCTTCACAGCAGAGCTAGCTAGCTACTGTCCAAGTATGTGAGCTTCACCAGCCGCAGTCAGATGTGAGAGTGTACGAGAGTCAAGAAGAAGAAAAAAGACAACAGTTGTTTCAAAAAGAAAAAGGAAAGAAACACAGTTTTTACTCACAGTTGCTGCTGACAGCAGCCATGTTGGTTGAAACCAGGGTCCAGTTCCTGTTAGCTAATGAGTTCAGGTGGGATCACCACCAGAAGGGGGCGTTACTCTTGTCGAGTTTGTGGACCCTGAGCAGGGACTGTGTAAAGTTCCCACGGTTCTTCTCTGTCCACCAGGTGGAGACACTTTTGATGTTGAAAAGTGCTCTTAACTAAATGAGTCTTTTGTCTAAATCGAACACATTGTTTTCCTACAGCAGTGAAAGTCCTTTCTACTGCCATCACACTCACGGTTTTATACCAACTCCGTGCTGGAGGGGTTCTTTATAATGACCTTTGACTACGTACTTTTTAGGGCAAAAATGTAAGACTTTATATACATTGTTTTTATTACACTCGGAACTTGTGAGACAAAAAAAAAAGTTTTTATTACACTCGGAGACAAAAAACCCAACCTGATCCAGTCAAATTATAAACGTCTCACTTGATTGAAGTCACCTGTGGAAACACTAAAATAATAAAAAGTCAGTGACATTTTACGTCTGACTTTGATCACTACTGAATCGAGGGTTAACCTGATGACCGTACCAGTTGTACGACTGTGTTACCAGTTGTACGACCTGCCTTATTCACTGCTTTTTTCCCCATTTTTATCTATTAAAAAAATCAAATCAAATCCACTGATTGTAGATAAAACTAGATCAAACCCTGAGTCCGTCGGACTCTTTGACCCACTGTCTTACTCTCAAACCACCAGCTCAGATTTTATCAATTTGAAATGATGTTGATGCTGCTGCTGTGCAGCCCCCCCCCCCCCCCCCTCTTACACCCACACTCCTAGATTGTTGTCAAAACACTTTGTTTCTCTGCAAGTTGCTTTTTTTTTTCTTTTCACCGTCGGGCCTTGGACGTCCCTCTGCTGATCTTACGTCGTCATTATTTACGAGACAAAGTCCAGAACCGTGTTTGTCCCACACAGACTAGAGAACCTGAAGACTTTACGTGTAGAAATGTGAACTAGAAAGATAGAAGGTACAGTGTGTTTATATGTAAAGATGGGAAGCGTCGACCATAAGACACTGGACACATGCCAGACCTGTACATAGACGTGACACACACACACACACACAGACACACAGACACGTCACTGCACCAGATAGTTTTGTATGGAGTCTCTATGGTCTTGGCTGCATGCTGCTTGTTGTCCTACACTGTACATAGATGTTAATTTATTTGACACGACGTGTAAATGAGCCGTCATCGTCGGAGCCGACGCCACGATGACGGCGTTCATATGTTGCCATTTTCCCTCCGAGACGAGCAGTATTTTCTAGATGATGAGGAGCCACGGCTGCACGCTCTCATTTGTAAAGCTGTTAAAAAGTGTGTTTATATGAAATTTAAAAAAAAAAGAAAAAAAGAAAAGAAAAATCCATGCAAATGGAAGAACGTGAACTGCTGTATTTGTTGGTGATTCCTCTCGAGGCTTCTTCATCGTCACCAGGGTCGAGGTGGGGGGAGGGGTCGGAGGGTCAGGGGTCGGGGGGCGTTGTCTATTTCAGAGAGGCTCCTGAAGCTGTAATCCTGTTTGTACATTTGTGAATGTGCATGACAAATACTGTGGTTGTTACATCCGTCGTGGTGAAACCGTCTCTGCAGACAGAAGCACTTTGACATACTGTACCTGGGAAGAGGAACCGGCCTCCATCTGGACTGTATATATATATATATATATATATATATACACATGAAGTTACAGTCCAACTGATCTGAGATCTGCTTTTTACCCAGCATTCTCTGGGGCTTCTCTCTTGGAGAATCATTTGTACCGACCAGAACCTGTTCCCAGACGTTCAGTATGTGAAACCTGCAGACGGTGACGTAAAAACAGGGTTGATCTTGTACAGTCTCTGTTGGAGAGTTGGTCGTTGTCTCCTCCATGGTGAAATCATAAAGGCTCATTTCTGTTTCTACTGCTCGCAGAAAGCCCTTTGATGTTGAAGTGGTTGTCATGTCTGTATCTCTCTCTCTCTCTGTGTTGTTTGTAGCCTCTCTCTCTCTCTCTCCTAGTCAACTAAATAGTACATGTAGTTCAGTAGATAAATGTCCCTCTTTGATACGATACAAAATGCATTGTGGATAAATGTCAAGAGACAAAGAAAGAAAAATGTCTTACAGTCAGAACCATCCTCCTCCTCCTCTTCCTCCTCCTCTTCCTCCCTCTGTGACTTGCTTTTATCTGGTAATTTGTACGTCATGTGTATGACAAATAATTTTTCCTGATGGTATTTGTATTTCTGTAAACACTTTGGTGATTCTGTCATATTTGGGTTTTATAAACCACCGTTATTTTTAAAAGCCACTCTGCCTCTTGACTCGGTTTTTTTTTAATTCTGATTTTAATATTTGTACAGACTTAACTTTGACACTACATTCATGAGTTAATTCACCTCAACATCACTCTGACAGGCTCCACAGTGGGCGGTGAGATTAACCAGCTCTGGGGGGTGAAAAAAAAAGTTTTGATTTAACTCAATTATTCCTGATTAATTGTGTGATCCATCCACAGCGACTCGGTGAGAACCAGGATTTAAGAATCTAAATTCAAACATGTACTTGAAACAAAACAATTTCTTTGTCCTGCCCTGTGAAGCAAGGCACTGCCCCCGGTGGTCACACAGACTAGTACACTAGTAAACAGAGGTGCTACAAACCCTGTGTGCCGTTTGTGTGAACCAAACAACCGTCCAGTCAACTGCAGTCTACGAAGGTCACAACTGTGTTGTTTATTTTATGATAACTGATACAGGATAAATGTTATACATTCTATTTTAACACTGATATTCTGTTTTTATTTTCAATGTCAGTATGAAAAAAAAAATACGATTCAAAGTAAACATTTTGGTGAAATCATGAACATGATACATATATTGACTGCTTCATTATTATTAAACCAATTACAAATGAAGAACTCCTGGTTTCCCCCTGTGATAACTTGTTTCGCTACAACACAAAAAAAAAAAACAAACAAACAAAAAAAAAAAAACAGAGACGAAAGATACGAAATAAGAAAGAAACTACAAACACCAGGAGTTGGCATTAAAGAACCACTTCATCTTCAGATGAGTTCATGGACTGGAGCAGATGCATATGTGGAAACACATGATCCCTGTTGTATAAATGCACGTACAGTTAAGGATGCAATAATCTGGCCAGACAGACGGACAGAGGGGAAAAGGAGCAGGATACACACACATACACACATTTAACCTTTGTCTTTCCATATAAACACGCGTTAACCAAACAACAAGCAGAAGGCTCTCTGGGTTTAGAAGCTAAAAACTACACTTGACTTGAGAAAAAAAAGAAAAAAAAAAAGAAAAAGAAAAGATAAACAGACATTCACATTTCTGAAACCATTTTCAGCGTCTCACCGTTCCTCACCTGATTAGGTAGCTCCGACCGTCAGTCTCGACAACTGTCCCTGTTGTCGTGTGCCACCGGAGGAGTCGGAGTAACGAGGAGGGCGACCCGTTTGTGCTGTCGTGTCCAGCTCGTCCCTGTGGACCAGGGTCAGCGTCTGGTCACCTGCACTGTCCGTCTTGGTCCGAACTTCTCCGCCATCGTCATCACACTCTCCGAGCACTCGTCCAGTGACCTGCTGAGTTTGTTTTTTTCTGCCAGTTTCTTTGTCCACAAGTAAAAATAAGTGAGCGACATGTTGTGAGGAAGGGACGAGGAGTGTAACTGCAGCTGTCGTTGTTGTTGTTGTTGTTGTTGTCTGGTGTGTGAACGTCCAGTCAGTCCATGCACCTGTGTGTGTGTAATGCATGTCCGTCTCTATGCAGGCCTCACGGCGAGGCTGGCGCTTTGCTACCGCTGTAATGAACCTGGTATCTGTTGACCGCCTGCCCTTTGACCTCAGTGGACAGGCAGGTGGTCTTGCAGGGGATCATGTCCTCCTCCTCCTCGCCCAACAGCCAGTTCTGCACCGAGCGCTCAGCTGTAGCTGTGACATGATTGGACAGCCAGTCCTGGTGCCACTTGTCGAAGCGTTCGTGCTGATTCGCCGCCACTTTGTGCTGTGACTGTGAAGACAGAAAACACTGGTGAAGACGTGGAAGAACAAACAATAAAAAAACAACGTGCACGTCCAACCACCAGACGGACCAGGATCTCCTCATCAGAACCACAGTCTCCTCACTAACCTTCCTGGCTTTGACCAGTGCTCCTCGTCTGTACATGTAATCCTCAGAGTTCATGACAAACACCATCTTGTGGGTGTTGAGTTTAAAGCGACAGTCCAAACTGCCAGCGTTTTCCACGCCCAGCTTGCGGTGCCACTCCCTCCTGCAGCGCATCGCCTCCACCTGCCGAACCTGCCAGCGGCGGAAACGTCGCAGGTTCCTGAACGAACAGACAAAATAAAACATTCAGCAGGTTTCCAGTTTGTAGAACCTTCAGAGTCAACGCTACGTGAAATTACACAGTCACACTTGGCTTGTTCTGTTATTTTAGCATAAATCATATTATTTTTTCAAATTATATTTTGAATCAAACCAAACACAGCGGCTGTGAACGGACTTTAAAACAGGGAACATTCAGACTACGTCCAACCACCAGACGAACCAAGATCTCCTCAACAGAACCACAGTCTCCTCACTAACCTTCCTGGCTTTGACCAGTGCTCCTCGTCTGTACATGTAATCCTCAGAGTTCATGACAAACACCATCTTGTGGGTGTTGAGTTTAAAGCGACAGTCCAAACTGCCAGCGTTTTCCACGCCCAGCTTGCGGTGCCACTCCCTCCTGCAGCGCATCGCCTCCACCTGCCGAACCTGCCAGCGGCGGAAACGTCGCAGGTTCCTGAACGAACAGACAAAATAAAACATTCAGCAGGTTTCCAGTTTGTAGAACCTTCAGAGTCAACGCTACGTGAAATTACACAGTCACACTTGGCTTGTTCTGTTATTTTAGCATAAATCATATTATTTTTTCAAATTATATTTTGAATCAAACCAAACACAGCGACTGTGAACGGACTTTAAAACAGGGAACATTCAGACTGAGCTTCTCACCTGGGCAGAAACACGGGTTTGAAGAAGTAGCCTTCAGCCTGTGAGCACAGACTGGACTCTGTTCCGACAAACTGCTCCATGTAGCTGGACAGGCACTGACAGGACAAGGTTGACAGAGTTCACTCACTGACATCACTCAGGTTCACCTGGTCACTGAAACATCCTTACCTGGACGTCTAAAGGATCATCGGCCTGAGCCTCCTCCGTGTCCAGCAGCTCGATGGTCAGCGTCACCTCACCTTTGTTCTGGATGAACATCACCTGATCACAGAGACACACGGGTCATTTAAATTTCAGTCATCTGAACTGAGAGTAACACAAGAACAGTCGAGAATAATTGTAATTTCAGAAACAGATTTTTTTTTTAAACAAACAAAATGTTGCTGAAAACAAAACATCTTTTAAAAACACAAAATGTTGCTGAAAACAAAACATTCGGTCATTTTTGCTCATTCATGCTTGTTTTTTTTTTAAATATACTCGGTCATTTTTAAACAAGTCTTCATGCTTGTTTTTTTTTTAAATATACACAAAAAATGTGTGCACAACATTTCTGTATGTTGGTAAAAGTTTTAGGCAGGTGGAAATTTACTCTATACCAACTTCTTGCACCATTTCAGGCCATTCTAGGCTTTTTGGGCACGTCCTTATTTATTTAAGAGTATAAGAGTATGAAAGCTTTCATGGGTTATGCTGCCCTCTTGTGGTCACTAAAAACAAGCCCAATAGCCTGGCTGCACAAATCCACCTAAATTGAGTGTTTTCATCAGTCAGTAATTAAATAAATATAAAAGTATTTAAACCTTTTTCCATGTTACTTTATTTCTGTACTACAAAGAAAATATATATATAATATAATATATATAAAACAGATAAAATAGACAAAATGGAGAACAGGGGAAATATGAAACGTGTTTCCTCGTGTGTGCTCACCTTAAAGCAGTTCTCCTCAGACATCACCCTCTCAGCCTTCCACTGGTAGCTCGTTTCCCAGGCAGCTCTGACGCACTGTGAGGAAAGGTTCCCTCCCGCTGCTCCTCGCTTCCTCTCTGCGAGGTAAACATCAACTACCTGCAGACAGACCTCATCGCTCACGAGGTGCTGCAGCTGAGGGCGAAGAGAGTGGAGAGTCGAACGATGAAGCAGCAGAAAAATGTGGAAATAAAAAATGATTCAAATGTTTATTTTTCTTTTTTTTGTCTTACCTGCCGAATTATGTTGTGGATGACCTTGTCGATGGTGAAGCCGATGTAGGCGTGGATGGTGAACATCTCTCTCAGTGTGTCTTCATACTGTGTGGAATCCAGGTTACCATCCAGTAAACTGCGAACCATGTCCAGGAAGGCTGGGTAATACTCCTCTAACTCCACCTCACCTGCAGCAACAGTCGCACGTCAGCAACATTTATTATAAATATATTACAATTCTATTTCCTTAAAGTGAAAGTTATTAAAAAATAATAATGTGGTCACAGCACGGCGCCCCCATGTGGAGGACAGGGCTACAGGGCTCGTAGTTCGTGGCTGAACTCACTGGGCTGTTTGAGGCGGAGCTCCATGGCGAGGTCGCAGGCCTTTTCCCTCCGTCCCTCAGCCATTAGTAGGCGCTCTCTGCTCTGCTCGGCTCGGTGTTCCAGCAGCTGCCGCTCTGCCTGTCGGTAAACCTTCAGCAGCCGCGAACACAGCGTCTGGTGCAGCCGCAAGAAGAAATACCAGTTGTTGTTGACAAAGAACAGGTTGTAGACGCCATCCAGCTCCTTCTGATGCTCCGCCTCAGGGTCGCGCAGGTCTACTTTCTCTGCAGCTCCTCCCGGCCCCGTCTCCATGGGAGTGGATCCTGAGCCGGATGTGGAGGATCCTGCGGGCAGACTCGCCGTGCTGGAGGTGCTGAGGGCCTCCATCTCTGCAGGTTGCGATGGGCTGTAGCGTCTCCTCCTAGATTCACCGTTGACATGCTGCTGGGGCTGGGTCTGGGTTATGGATTGGTCAGGTGGTTGAGGATGGCCACCAGGGGGAGCTGCTGCTGCTGCTCCTGAGGCATTATCAGAATTTCCATTCCCTCCTCCTGTGGCTGCTCCAGCTTTACCTCCTTTGTCTCCTCCCTCCTCGGGCTCTGCCTCCTCATCCGTCCATTCTTCAGTATCACTGAGTTCGCCGCGGCGCGAAAAGAACAAGTCGGGGACAAAGTGCTGGATGATGCGCTTGATGTGGTCCTTGTCGTCTTTGTGGATGGTGGGCTGACGTTTGACGTGGTAAATGATGAGTGATGCCGCGTCCTCCAGGATCTGTTTGTCCTCGTAGGTAAACACCATGTGAGGCTCGCTGGGTGAGGCCGAACCAGAGCCGTTGCGTCCTTGATGCCCGACGCCACCTTCTTCTGTGCTCTGTTCCTGCCGCTAAAACAAAAACAAAACACAAACCGGAAATTGAATGTGAATTCATTCTTTATCTACAGTGTCTGGAAGTTCCTTTGTCAATGGTCATAGAACACATAAAAAAGTATTAACTTCAACTTAAGGTAAAGCAAAAATTATCAAAGATGAACTCCTCAAGAAATATTATTTCCTTGAAATAATATTTGATATGAGAATCGTCCTTAACCTCCAGAAAATCAAAGTCACGTCTACAAACTCAACATATTCACAGTCTTTAAAATCCACACTTGAACCATATTTTAAAGTTCAGATGTATTCACTTTAAAACTGTTTTTTATTTACTGATGTATTTTGCTTCAAATGAACCCATTATTATTTCACGTATCACACCAAGGTTCCAGCGTCACCGCGGCTGAAACAGACACAGGTCTCACTCACCTCATCATAAACGCTCTCAATCTCGTTGAGGAGACTCTTGGACCGCAGGGCTTTCATGTCGTTCTGTTTGAAGTTGACTCCCTGGTGGTCCAGAGACTTCAGGTACGCCTTCTCGTACTGCTCCCTCCATATTTTATTAAACCCTTGTTGAGCCTCTCTCCACTCCTCCTCCTTGGCCTTCAATCTGTATGAAGTCAAACACGGTTTAAACCACAAAAAAGTACAGGTACAGGCAACGTGAACTCACGTTGATTTTGAAAAGTTTTCATAAGGTGCAAAACTTTTTAGAGAGACCCATGAACACACACTCTTTTTATCGAGGTTCTAGTTGGGTTTCTGCTAAAGCAATGTCGCAACGAGTGAACAGTCACATTCCTTTGGTGCAGTCACGGAAATAGTTGGCAAGAAACACTTAGTAGAAGAGAGAGAGGGAGAGGGAGAGAGAGAGAGGGAGAGAGAGAACATTTTCATTGTCATATTTGTTTGCCGAGCAGAACTGTTTAGCTTTTCCTACTGACAGGTAACAGCTTCTGTTCTGGGTCTGCTCAGGGCTAAATCAGCCGAGTGCAGTGTGTGAGCAGCAGCTCAGACACAGAGGGAAATAAGTGACACTTTTTGACAGTAAACAAAGTGACAGATTTTAGAATTGGTAGAAATCCAGAACCAATAAAACTTGTTTTTCTTTAGATGTTTTGGTGACATTTCTTGACAGTTTAGTTGATGATGACAAACACTAGATTAAACCAGTAAGGTAAAAGAGGCTTAGAGCACACCCTGCTGGTATATAAAGGTACTACTTTAAGAGTTTTATTTTTACCCCAAGCTCAGATATATATTCCTAAGGCAATATATACAAAGGAAATCAACATTTATGTTCATCCACTTGATGTTAAACCAATGAGGATTTCTTTTTAAATGATTCCCAAAAAAAAAAAAACAGACAAAAAACAAAAATGTATCCTGACCTTTTGAGCACCACCGGCACAGCCGTGGCTGGACTCCTCTTCAGGCCCTCAATAATCTCAGGGGCTTTGTCTCCATAGATTCGGTACACAGCACGACGCTGGATGACCTCAGAGGTGCCGCCCAGACAGTCGTCCAATCTGAATCTCTCTTGATCCTCTGGCGAGAGGCGCGACAGCTTCTTCTGGACGCTCTCGAGCACTCTGATCGTGGCCAAGTTTGTTTCCAGAACCACGTCCAACTAGGAGTGGAGTTGGATAAAAATTGGAAAAAAAAAAAGACTGTAATTTCAACGTTCAGTAGGGTGACTAAAGTACTTACAGTTAGTGGTTACAGTTACAGGTAACACAACGTCTGACTGACATACCTCAAATCTTTCATCTTCACAGCGATGAAGCTGCTCCTCATACGGAGTCTTCTTTGAGCTGACAAATGTGGAGTCTTCTGACCAGGAGGGGAATGACACCCAGGTGTCGTTCAGCACCTGCGTACAGACAAGAATGAATGTGAGTATTGACCAGTAGAGAACTGGTTCTTGTACAGAACCTCATCCTATTGGTCTGCTCCCTCAACGACATCACTCACTAATTTCACAGACGCATTTGATTGATAATGTTTTTGTGTGATGTCATCACTCGATGCTCTCTTTAATGATGACGTGGTCTGATGTGTCAGGTCAAGTTCTGTACTGTGTTAATGTCAACATGCTTTCACTCCAGTGTATGAACCACGTCCATCCACTATAATCACATTTAGACAAAGTGTGAGAGTGTGCGGAGCCTCCAGTCAAGTGCGTTAGTTTAATCACTTTATTTGATTCATTTACACTTTTTATATAACTGCTGTATGAAGGTGTGTCTGACAGATTAGGATATCAAGGTGCTTAAAAAAAAACCAACAAATATTTGCAAGGCTGCTGTGTTCCTCTTTCTAAGGGATCAACAAACAATAAACAACTTAGACCAAACGCCCTGTTTAACTAATCTTATGAGAAACTACGCGTGGACGTACCTCCTTGCATAAGGCTGTGCGTCCGCTGCACTTCGGCTGCTGGTATGTTTTGGGAAGTGCTCTGTAGCTGGATCCCAGGCGTTTGCAGGAGGCGTAATCCACCTCCCTCCCGCCTCCCCCCTCCATGTAGCGATCCGACAGCCCTGACACAGCATGAGAGAGCTCTTTGTCCCCCAGAAAGGACTTGAACTGAGTGTACAGTTCAGGAAACTTCCTGGATGGAAATGAAATCATAAATGACAGACGAATTAGAAGAAGTGCAGACATCCCTTGGAGAAAGTGTTTCTTACCACAACAGATTAAAAATAAATAAATAAATAAAATATATTATTGATAATAATACCTTATGTAGATGTACTTTTGCAGCCATGTGTAAGTATTGGTCAGAACCTCTTTTTCCAAAGCTGACTGTGCTGTAAATAAATATTCTAACTTGTGGAATATACGAAGTAGACAAAACATTTTATATTATTGCCAGGTTTTTGTTTTTGTTTTCTTTGAGACACTTGAACTTTTATGACCAGTAATATTTAATTTTATACCTGGGTCAACAGACAGACATCCAGGTATAAAAAAGCAAAAGGAAAAAGAAGAAAAGAGACTGCAAGATGAAGCCCAATTTAATATCCATATATATAATAATGTCAGTACTTAAATGGATCCATAAATAAATGGACCTACTCGGCTGAGTCACGTTCCAACTTTAGAACTTATAGATAAAACTAGTCTTCAGCAATCTGCACAGACAATGAGACTGTAATTTGAACACATTTGGTGAAAATGAGTGCTAGTCTGGCACAGATGACCTACTGTGGTTTTAAGGTGCATCACACGGCGGTCATCGACAAATAAAATGACTTAATTGATTAATTAAAAATTAAAATAAAGTAATTATATATAACAATTATCCACCCCATAATCTTTCGTCTTCAACTTACCCCAGAAAAGGAGTAACAAGTTGTAGCAACTCTGCTCCAGATACAACTTCCTGGTTAAACAAGGCGATGCAGCGCAGGAAGTTTTCGTATACTTCCTGGCTTTTAAACAGACGCCGGACCTGAATAATTTGACAGAAAATGAGACCAACCTCATTATAGGACTCAGTCAAAACAACAAGGACCAGATGGGAAAAAAAAAAAAAAAAAAAAAAAAAGCAAAAAGAGAAATGCTGTAGCAGTCAATTATAAAAACGTCTCACCTTATCAAAAAAGGAGAACTCTCTTAAAACGCCATGTTTTCCCACTGACGCAAAAGACTGATCTTTGGTGCAGGAATACTTCATTTTTTTCTATGTTAAGCAAAGCAAAAACCAACAAATCATCACTAGCAGTGATTCCAGTTAATCATGGGTGATTACATCATGTAAGCAGCTACATATGTGATGTATCCTAGACTTTACCTTCAGTAATGGTGACATGTGCTGCAGCAGGATGGGTCTGGGCCTCTTTTTGTTCTGTTTGGTTATCGTGTCCTCTTCCTCCGGTCTCTTCAGCTGCTCCTTCCCTCCTGTCAATGAGCTCCCTGTGAACTGTAGCAGAGGACCTGACACTTCAGACAACTTTAATTACACAAAACGGTCCACAGAGTCTCCTACACAGGCTGCATGAAGAAGGAAGAGGGATAAATATTCTACAGTTGTCAAATTGAAAAAAAAAAAAAAAAAAAGAAACTCAATAGTTTAAATACACAAAATATATAGTTGTAGGTATTGAAATTTAAAGTTTAAAAAGGCATAGATTACTTCAAAGTCTGTTCTATGAATGACCTCCTCAGAGGGTGGAACTTTGTCTGAGTCCGTTCGGTTCTAACCCACCAGTGATCGTTTGGCATCGGGCAGAAATTGTCCAAACTCTGCTAGAAGATCTTCCTGTCCCTTAAAGAGGCTGGCCACTTTGGAGAACACCTCGTCTTCCGTCATCCCGCTGCTGCCTCGGCTGCCCCGACTCTCCTTCACCTCCAGCTGCTCCTTCTATTGAACATAAGGAACGTGATAAGACGGCAACATGATGTAAACACATGCTAATAACCTAAAACTTATGTGAGAACTGGACACTTTTGCTGCATTTGTGAACTACAATAAAACAACATGAGATTGAGCAGCAAACCGACTCAATTTCCTGAAGTACAACCATTGTTGTATAAACATAAATAGCAATACCTGATACGTATGAAGAATTTCTAGAAAGGCTCTGTAGATCTCTGGGTGGTCCAGAAAACGATTCTTGATTTTGTTAACATAGCTGATGGCACTGTCGAACTCTACTGGGCTCGTTTCTGAAGCCGGCGGAGACACAGAGGAGGTGGTGGCCTGATTCTGACCCTCTTTGCTCGTCAGAGGAAGAGAAAGTCTACTGGGAGGCTCTGGTGGTCCTGCTGAGGCCGAGGCCGATGCTGAGGCCGAGGCCGACGCTGAGGCTGAGGCCGAGGGAGGCAGGGGCTCCGACGGGGCAACCTTGACTTCAGTGGGACGAACGAGGCCAGCATCAATTTGGGAGGCAGAGGTACTACCTGAGGGTGTGGGCCCTGCAGGGGTGGTGAGACTCTTCCCCTGCTGGCCTGGAGATACCTACACAGATAAAGACAACAGGAAGACATGAAACTATGGACCAAACGAACAGTGACGACAGGAACTACTTTGTCAAAAAGATGCAAAAAATGATGGTGATCATTGTTGTTTAAACAACTTGTGAAAATGAATTAAAGAGTTTTGTGCTTCATAATAGCTGTGTTTTCAACCCATTCAATACTTCATTAACTTTTTTCTAACATACTACTCCGTTATGGTACTGTAACCCCGTCCTTCACCTCCTACATCGTTACACAATTCATTTTTATTTCCTCCTTATTATCCGGAGGTCTTCCTCTTTTTCATCCTGACCAACTGCTCTATTTTTCTCATCCTTTGTTAAATAAATACACACGTCTTCCTCAGTGATCATTCAGACTCTGCAGCCTTATTTTAAGAATGTTCGACATCTGCTGTGCCTTTTCTGATTCTGTAAAAGAATTTCTCTGATCATAGAGTCCGTCAGCACACATTTCATAGACATCTATTCGAGTCCTCGGCACTTCATCGTGACTGTACTTGATCTGCGTTATAAAGATTTTTACTTAGATGCGGGAATAAAGCAGCGCTCATGAGAAATGATCCAGTGATTGACTTAAATGCACTTTGTGTTTTTATGAGCGAACAAATTTAATTTTCTCTCAGCAGGTCAGTAGGCCTGTACATTATCATTGAATGTACACATAAATGGGGTCAAGTTTAACATTTTATTTTTATTTTATATTGTTCATTGTTGGAATGTGCTAAATAAATATTTTCATAATTTGTAATTTGAAACATTAATATTAATTTATGCGATTGCAGTGCCTTGATTTGACTGCGGTTTAGTCCAAAGTCATAGCCATAAATGCAACGGTACTAATATTTGGCAAAATCATTTCTTTCGGTGTTTCGGCTTTAGGCCTTGGTTTCCTCATTTTCGGTTTTCGGTTTCGGCCAAAAAATTTGAATTTCGGTTCATCCTTGGTTCACGAATTAATTCAAATTGTCTAACTCTCCTCCACACTCTATATATATTCTGTCTGGTATCTGCTGACCTTTATTTTTTTTTTTCTTCCCTACAGTGCGAACCTCCACCTTTTCTTCTTCTATTCTATTCTCCCTACTCTCGTCACAGATAAATGAAATATCATCTAGAAACATCACTGTCCGTGGAGCCTCCTGCCCGACCTGCTGACCGTCTGCAAATGTAAAGGGCACAAAGTTTCTCACTGCCCCACCACTTCCCCTCAACACATCAGTCAACACTGCACGCACACACCACTGTTTTATTACTGTCCTCATCAATGTCCGCACCACTCTCACATAGTTCTCTACCATTCCTGATTACCTCGATCTGTACCACCATCTGTTTTTTTGTAAATAAACACCGATCTTACCTTACCGCACTCTCAATACAAAAACTAAACTTGCAGCACTTTTCGGCACAAAAACGGACTGTTTAGATGATGTCACTGATCATGACCACTTGTCTAAACTTTTCCAGGTTGTTTTAAGCATAATTTAACTAGTCCCATTTATGGACACGCACTAAACAGTAAGATGGAGAATGGTTTAAACTTTTGGAGACATCAATAACAAAGTGTTTGCTAATGCAGTAAACAAATGCCAAAGATTTTGGATAGTTTAGTGTAATAACAGGACTTAAAACAACTATAGGATTTTTTTTCTCACTTATTGAAAAGAGAAGAAAATAAAGTTTAACTGTGACCACTACAATTTTCACTTAGTAAAATCTGATGGTCTAATGTGTTCCTCGTACTCTAATGCATAATAAGAGGGTAAGAGATCTAGAATATTTCTTGTTTGTGTCCCATATTAGGTAAAACATGCAGTTCAACCGAGATTTTCACTTCTGCGTTTCTTTTTTTTTTTTTTAAATACAATGTTACGCAAGCAGAATTGTATTCATTTTCTCTTAGAACTTGAAAAAGTTCTGCAAACATTGGTAGCAATGGGTCTGCTTTAGATTTCATAGGACAAGTCCTTCATTCATTTTTCACAAAGATGATTCAATTCTTGGGACATGAATGAAGCACCGGTTTGAAGAATTAATTTAACTTATCTATAAGGCATGTGTTTTACCTGTACAGAGAATGGAGATTGCAGGAAGGCTATTCCATTCTTGGGGACCTCTATCCGATACCCTGGTGGAAGGAAAGCATTGAAGCCCAAAACTAAATCTGGGTGTCCGTGGAAGAGCTGCGACACTCGGTTAATCACCCCTGGAGTGTCAATGCTGATGAGAAGAAGAGATCGAATTAGACATTTCCACAACATGGGTAGCAAAGGAGAACAAATATGTTCCCTGGAATGCTGCACAACACTGACAACGTTCCAATCAATGAGTTTAACGGCTTAATTAAGGAGAAGTTATAATCACATGATTGACATCTAAATGTAACAATACAAAACAAACCCAAAGTGTAGCTGCAATTTCACACTTATTGTTAAGAGGTTTAAAATAGTGGCACCACCTCTGGCTAGTGGCGATTTGGTGAGTAATTATACACAGATGTACATTTAAATATTTAAACAGACATGTCCTCAAAAAAGGATAAGTAAAAGTCAACAACTCCTGGTACTTATCCTGGGAACGACAAAGGTCAAGAAGTAAGGTCTGCATCGAGGCTTCAGTGGATCACGTGAGCGCTCGTTGTTAGAATAAGTACCTTTGTGACTTAAACTCTTTCATGATGTCAAGAAACTTGTTGTATATGCCAGGGTCATTGGCAAATCGAATCTTCACTTGGTCCAGATACGATAAGGCATCTTCAACCTATGATCAGAAATGAGAGAGAGAAGAAACAGAGATCATCACTGCAGCAAATCATTATTTTCAACTCACCCGAAGGTTCATGCAGCAGGATTTTACATCGACTTTGAACAAAACTTTTGCTCATCCACACTTCAGTGAGACACATATTCAACAACTCATATAAAAAGGTTCAATACAAAGTGATGCCGTGTGCAGCGGGCACACACTTTAATAATTAAGATTAAAGTAAGTAATTGTTTTTTTTAAATTACATTTTGAGGTGAGAGGTCAGATCACATTAAAAGTGCATATCTTAAATCACAAGTGTCAGGATTATTGTGTGACTACAGATTACATACAAAATGGGACTGGCATTGAATGCCTTCGTTGAAGCAGTGGGAGAACGACCTGCTCTGCTGGTTTCTTAACTAACCACAACCGTAAACACCATTTGCAACCAAAGCCTTAATTGATGGTCATGCAAAATAATCACAATGCCATTTTAAAGAAAATTAATTAAATTTAAGTCCACAGTGCTTACGATGGACAAGGTGACTAAGGCGTTAGATAAATTTATGGGAAATAGGATGTTGGGAGCTGGAACTGCCAGGTTGGACAGAGTTGGACCCCAAAGGAAGATACTAGCGGACAAAGATGTGGTGATTGTGGGCAGAACAGGGAAGGAACAGGTTGCGATAGAATGCTGACCATACAAAAAATAAATGGACAGCCTCGGGGAAAGGTTAGGTTAGCTAGACATCTCGGTCTATAAAAATACAGTCAGGCCACTCTAATAAATATCAGTAAAAATCTCATCCAGAAATGTAAGGGTATGATAACTAGTTTAAGGAATATAACAAGTTTTTCAATCAATCAATCAAATCCACAGGTATATCTATCTATCTATCTATCTATCTATATATATATATACATATATAGATACAGAAAATACTAAAAAAGTCAACAAGTCTATTTTCCAGTATTTCCAGCACCGTTTATTGCTGTTATGGTTGACAGATTGCTAAACCTCTCTAGAGGTCCTCACATTCAAACCCATGGTTTCCAATTAAACTAATCTTTTTTGTGATCGTTTTTGTGCTGTCAGACGAAACCAGAGAATTCTGACAAACTCTTCACGATCAGGGAAAGAAGATAATAAGTTCACACAACATAATGGTCACCGTGGACACTGACCGGTGACCTTCTTGCTGTATGGCAGTAGCACTACTCCATCGCGAGTCTCCAAAAGGTGCATTATTTTGTACTTTGTACTCTGTACAGGAAGTAGCGACATTTTTTTTCAACCGGAGTTGGTTTCTTGAAACAGAGGCATTTTCAGTCTGGTTAGATGAGCCAATGTCGTTTTCGTTTAACGAACCTGAATCCGATTGTCGACCGTGGTGACTGCTCAAATAAAAGATACAAAATAATTGCATCTCACATTTTACATCATATGAAGAGGGTGGCAGTTCGGTCCTCCAAGTAATTTAAAGGCACAACAACAGATATGTGCTGTCTATCGCGGCAACGATCAACATCTACCTTCTTTTTTTTAAATTTATTTATTTATTTCTGTATCAACATGAACACACTTTGGCGTATACAGTCCAGCCCCATTGTCAGCTGAAGTGCTTCATCAACAAATGGAGTAGTTAGTCGTACGAGCTGCACAACTAACCACTGTACATATAAATAAATAGACGAATAGCAGACCGTCGAGCAGCTTTTGTTCGCCCGAAACGCGATTTGGTTTTTTTTTCTTTTTAATCAAAACAATTCCAACTCGTTTTAGTTACGAGGAACGACGTGTTCACACACACACAAAGCGCAGCGAGAAATAATCCACATCTATACTGGTGTTGTTTGGAGCTAACATTAGCCCGCGGCCAGTTAAGTGACGATAATAACTCCCAACAACACTTACAACACACACACATACACACACCGACCACGTATATGTTTATTCGGTACGTTTATAGCCACAGCAGATCCCTGACTATCAGTCTACGGTGTTGGCACAATCCGTATGATCGCCTTTCAAGCACTGCGATAACAAAGCACCGAGTAATGAAGCAGCTAATGAAGTGAAATAGCCGTTTTCTTGTCTGGCCTGGCTGACGTCCCCCACTTTGTTCAGGGTGGCTGAAAAAAAACGAACAAGGAGGAACTTCCCACTAACAGGGCTTGAGTTAACGTTGGCTCGCAGCGGCTGTTATTGACACCGCAAATAGCAAACTGTACCACTCGACCGTCACTCACTGCGTTCGCCATTCACATCCATCAAACACTGCGCCTACGTTTAACATTAAACGAACCAATGTTTAACAATGAATTACTTTAGACCGGCCAGCGAGCTAACTCCTGTTAGCCAGTCTCGTTCCTCCACTACTCTGTGAGTGAACAGCCTCAGTATCCTCGGTGCAGCGAACAAAATGGTTGTGACTCTGAAGGGGACTTTTTTCCCCTCCTTCTCCTTTTGTCGTCTTACCTTCAGCTTCTGGAAGTGCTGCTGCTGCACTTGCTTTTGTGTTATCACGTAAGGCTTGTCTTGAATTTGGTTGATTTGCTTCGCAGTGCTGTGCGCCTGAATCTTCGCCATTATCCCGGCGACAGGAGGCTCGAGAGCCGCGGCCACAACTTGAGGGGGGGGGGGCTTCGGCGTTACCTCCAGTTAGTTTGTGGGCTGAAACCAAAAAGCCTTCCTCTGGGTCGAGGAGCCGAGCAGCCAGCCGAGCAGCCAGCCAGCCTGCCTGCCTGCAGCCTTACTTCGCCTGGCTGGCTGGACAGTGTCGGCTGTGAGAGCTGAGAAGGACGGAGTGAAGGCTGATGACAGAGCCACGCTGCTACTCGCTGCGACTTTGATTCAACATCGCCGAAGAAAGAAAAGAAAGAAAAAAAACAAGCGCAGGAGATAAGTGTCAGAAAACGAGCAAAAGAAACAATGGTCGTCGTTTGTCGTTTTTTTTTAAATAACTACTGTCTGTCTCTTTAAATTCGGCGGCAGCGGTCTGTCTAAGCGTCCGGAAGCCAGAGGAGGAGTGAAAAGGCGAAGAGGGGAAAAAATGTGAAAAAATTCAAGTGCGCAGCCGCAGCGATGGGAGGAGCTGAGTTCGGAAGAATCAGATTGCTCCACTCCCCCTTCACTGCTACAAAGGAGCAGCATTTTGACCGTGTTATCGGCAAAAAGCTTTAAATAAAGGAAAGAAAGAAAGAAAAATGTTTGCACTGAATGGCTGAACTACTCAGAGAAGAGACCATGTCCCTGAGCGATATCTGTTAGAGACACCGCCATCGTTCACAAGTTAAACGTGTGTCGTCAATGAAGCATGTACTACCGTGTAAGAAGCAACGTAATAGATGAGTAAAAACTAACACAAACGACGAAATCAATAACCAATGCGTTTGATTTAAAATAAAAAAATTGAACAAAGACCAAACGGAACTCACCGGATCCTCGATGATTTGAACAATAACCAGCTCTTTATGCCTTTGAGTAACAAGACTTGTATTGTTCAGAGCTAATTGTCAACAGGTTTTAAGTTTTCCATTTCATACTTTTCTCAGGCTCCTCCGGATATGAAGGTATTCTGACTTTAATTGCTGTTTTAAAGTTGACATATTCCATAGGTTTTAATTCAAGTATTTTCCAGTCAGATCAGTAACATTTACACTGACTTTTTTCTGGAAATTTTATATACATATCATGTAAGTCCCTTAGCTGTGGATGCACCAAAGGGTCAATAAGGTCACTCATTATTTTCACTTCCAAAATACACAGTTTTTGCCTTTCTTTTTTTGTTAACATCAGTTTAAAGGATCAGTACAGCGATGTATTTATGCACATCATTTGACAGTGATGCATAATATAAAGACAGAATTTCAATAGTTTGGTGACATTATGCACATCATTTGGCAGTGATGCATAATATAAAGACAGCATTTCAATAGTTTGGTGACATTTGTTCATGAAAGTGATGGAGTTAATGAGAATAACCGGGTACTTCATTGTAGCTGCAGTGTTTATTATGAAAAGTCGACAACACTTTCTGTATAGGACAAAGACAAACTTCAGGTAAAACATCACTTTTACTGTAAATCTTTATTTAGCATAGACTGATACACAACAAAGACAAATTCAACACTGTTTCTCTGAAATATAATTTCTGACGTAACTCATCGGGACAGTTGTTAGAATTTCACATGAAATATTAAATGAAACACGTGTTAGTTCTCTGTTGCTCGGCTGGTGCCCGTTCAAATGTTATGGTCGTGAATCTGTGGCTTGTTAGTTTAACACTCAGTTCATCAATGTTGAGGTTTACACGAAAATCACATCTCATTTCTTTTAAGTGTTTACAAACCAAAAGTTACTGCAATAGTGGTACTTATAAACTAAGAATGCATGATGAACAACTTTACAATTTGTTTAAATCACCGTTACAAAATGTAAACATTGTAAAAAAAAAAAGAAAAGAAACAAAAGCCTTGGAAGTGAACAAGACGTACTACTACAAGACAGGAGGGGGTATTATTTCATGATATTGTATTTTATTGGTGCAAACATATTATAAACAGTCATCACAATCTGAGGCAGAAAAAAACCCTGCAACAAAACTGCCAACTCACAATGTGGACTACCACTGTTGTGACGCCTGATAAAACCATAAGTGATTCTTCTTCTCCTAATAGCTACCAAAATGTGCACTAATGGTAAATGAAGATAAGATGAGCGTGGCCTCGGGGGCCTTTCTATGTTAAAAAGCCTCATTATTAGTTTACCTTGGTCATCACTGTGAGAATTTGCCAGAATATGAGAGGTTTGTGGAAAAAAAAAAAAAAGATAAGCGTCATATTGTTAATCTGTGAGATTTCCTTTTAGGACCGTTTGCAGCTTCCATCTTTGCAGCCACTGCTGATAAGTCAGACCTCCTTTACTGAGCTCAGGGAGGACATGCTGAGCTGGTTGATCCCACCTGCACATATGGACAGACACAACAAACAATTAACAATTTTTAAAAATGTAATCAAAGTGTGGTAACTATAAAACAGTATAGACATGCTGCAACTATAGTCTCATTCTGTTTATTTAGTTAAAAAGTCAATAATAATAATAATAATAAAGTTAATAATAACATGCCAGTAGACAGTATCATGCTTATTCTGTCTACTGCCATCTTTCTGATTTCTGTGTGAACAAAGGCTGGATTTAAAAAAATGCATCTTACTTAACAAAATCAATAATAATAATAAATTTTATTTTTTTTGATTTTTAATAAATCAATTATTAAAAATAAGAATATCTGATAAGACCAATACCAAAAACAGACCTAGAGCTACTTTACAAAAACTGCCTTACCAATAGGATATGGCTGTTTTGACCTGGTCCCCGTAGGAGAGACCCTGTGAGCAGCGTTGGGTGAGACCTTCAGCTTTTGGAACCAGACACTTCAGAAGCTTCTGATCTTCCTCCACGATCCTGGACAGCAACGCTGAGAAGCACATTAGACAGAGTTAGCAGCAGCACTGGTCGCCCCTTCTCCTGGTCAGTCGCTCCTATTACCTTTTGGATCAGAAGCATGCAGCGTTTCCATCTCCTTTTGTGTTTTCTGTCGAGTCACTGAGTGAAGCTGCAATAACTTACAGAGGAAACGCAATTCAGCCTGCAGGGAGCACGCCTGGAAACCGAGCTCCTCAGGAGCCTGAAGTAGGAGTAAAAATATAAAAAGTAACTTATACAGAACAGCTCAGAGTAAAACAACAAAGGATTTTCATTGGGCTGTTGCATTTTAGTTCACCAACACATTTGACTCACCTTGTACAGAGGGAAACCCAGGCTCTGACACATGTTGTTGAACGACGGTGACTGTAAGCGATTGATGGACAGCGTGGATGCAGGAATCCTCTGTCCTCTGAAACAACAGCAGGTTAGAACGCACGTTATAATCAATACAATTTAAAACACCAGTGTGGACTGTAGGTGGAGCCATTTAACAATCCTGAAAGTTTCTTTACCTGCCTCTTAATTTTAACGTTTAGTTACAGTAACGTAGCAAAACTTTCAGATGAAACACAGTGGCAACATTTGTTGTTCAGAGGGTTTACCTCCCAGAAAAATATTTCCTGGATAACCGTAAATATATTTCATCGACAGCAGACTAAAGTGTTGTGCTCTTACCCATCAACAGTTCTGCAGTCTAACGCACGAAGTGAAACCATTCCAAGTTGTTTGGCATCCTTTGAAATCAAGTTCCTCAGACTGTCTGCTGCAGTTGTGACACCTTCAAACGTTGGCACCAACTCGTCCTGGATAAATTCTTGCAACTATAACAAAAACGGGAAATTCTTTCAATATTTTACATTTCTATCCGGTAACACTTCTTTTTAAATAAACAGGGAGGGAGGTCATCCGAACCTGTCTCTGCTGAGTGATGAGCTCGTTCTTGGCCATGGAGTTTCCTTTTATCAGACCCCTGAGCTGCTCCTGTCTTATATCCTTGAACAACAGCAAACAACTTTTAATTATTTGTGCTTTGAAATACTCACATTATCCACTCACAGAAATAAAAAATATGCCTATCAGCTTTTTTTTTTTTAATCTTATACTGCAGGGACGTTAGCATCAGGGAGGAAACAAGTTTGAAAACCTCAGTGTATGAATGCTGATTAAAAAAAAAACACTCTCAGAGTCACAGAAAGTCATTGATAGTCTTCACTCTCACCACGAGTTGTCTGAAGTCCAGGATGCTCTGCCACTGGCTACGAAGGCTTCGTAGCGCCTCCTGGCGGCTGCGAGCGTGTTTGTCCATTTGAATACATTTGTCTCTGAGGTATTCTCTGGCTGCCATCTGCATCACACACTGTAGCTCCAGCCCCAGGACTGACCTGGGAACAACACGGTGTTTAAGAGTGTTGGTTGAAAATAATTGAAAATAAATAAATAAATGTTGAAAATAAATAATTTATATTTACTTCTTGTTAATGTATATTATTATTATTCTGATTATTCCAAAATCAACAGAACTCACAGGGCTAAGGCCTTGTTGTCGAGCTCATCTGTTGAAGCAGACAACTCTTTCTCTGCCTCTGTCCTTTGAGCCTGCAGCTGAATTTTGAGCTGCTGGACTCTGGAGCGGGTCCGAGCGAGTTCCACCACACTCTGCTCCAACTCCTCCCATGCATCCTGTTAACAAAAATGTTGTATGGATTGATCATAAACAATAGGAGCAACTCTTCCCATGCATCCTGTTAACAAAAAAATTTTATATTTTGTATGGATTGATCATAAACAATAGGACAAACAGTGACATTTCCTATTTCAGTTTTCAGCTTTTAAAAATCGTAGAATTACAAAAGTACTGGTTCAGTTTTCAGCTAAAAATCGTAGAATTACAAAAGTACTGCAGTGTAAGAAAGTAGTTTGTGTAGAACCTGCAGCAGAGTCTTAACAGGTGGCAACTCTTTTTCTTCCTCTGCTGACAAGTCCAGTAGGTGATCGCTTTCAAAGCGGAACCTGTGGGAAAATGACAAAGACAGTATCCTCACCAAACCCTAGAGCTATATGATCCAGAATGATAACAGATCAAAAATGTGTTGCTTTCACTCACCGCAGAGCTGACAAATTCTGAGTGACATCCACAGAGGCCATCTTGTCTTCCAGTTCCTTCTGTTCTCTGGAAGCTAAATACTGTAAAGCTGAGAGGATGTGGCTTGGAGGATAACAGCTCCACATGTTCTGGTACAATGACAACAACAGGGTCATTTAGAGCGAAAAGCAAAGACAAAATGTCCACAGGCCAAAAAATAAAATATATGGAAATGTGACTCAAATAAAGACATAAAGAGAACAACCTCCACAGCACTTAACCAGTAATGAAACATGGCAGTCCTCTGTCCTGGGTTCATGCTAACAGAGGGAGAGGGGAAAAGAAAATTATTCTGATAGGAGTTTGTGAGTAAATAACTTGCTTTTTGAAAAGTAATGTTCTCACTGTTTGGCGGTAGACTGTGCAGAATGTGTTCTCAGTTCACTCTCCTGTAAAGACTGAAAGAAGTGAACCCTGTGGTCGCACAGCTCTCTCACTTCCCGCTGTCACAAATAAAAAGAAGCAACAAAGATAGTGAGATTTAATAACTGCTCAAGTAAAAAAAAAAAAAAAACTAAAATATACTAAGATATTTCCAAACTGGCACAACCTCAAACATATAGATATTATATATTATACAATAGCTTTTAACACACTTTAAATTCATTAAAAGTCATGTGAACTTTAGACATGCCGTACCAGAACCAGGGCCTCTGCCGAGGCTTTGACATCATCACTGTCGGTGGAAGACTTATCGAACAGAACTTCATTCTCTGATTTCCTGCAAAATTTAAGAGAAAGAGAACATCTTTATTTAGTGATGATCACTACATGAATGGTATCAATTTATACATTATATTATTGTTGTATATGGATACTTTAATTTCTATTCCGCTGCTGTACCTGGCCATTTGCTCCAGTGCTTGGCACTGCCCATTGATTTTCTTTATGTCTTCTGTCAATTGGTGGGAGTCGGAGGCATGGCGCTGTCTGAAGGCCTGGAGAAGAAGCTCTCTGTGCTGGTTGTCCTCCACTTGTGCCCAGGAATGGCTTATAGATCGCTCTGTTGAATAATTACAGTGTTAAAAATGAATTACGAAAGGTCATCTAAAAATGTGTACACAGTAAATGTAAAAGTTTGACAAATGGACAGTGATGGTCTGACCTTGAACGGCCGATTGCTCTTCTGTCCCACTGATCTGAGAATCCAATTGACTGATCTGAGCTTTTAGCTGCTCAATCTCCTTCTGGAGGTTTCTCTTCCTAGCGGCCTCGCTCTGACCCTCAGCCTGTTTATGCTGAGCAAGCAATAACACAAAACAGTTAATCTACCAACTTTGTTCCACAATTAAGGATTAGTTACATGGTTCGGGAGATAGTAAAGTTGGGAGTAGAGCTTGCTCACATACCTCTTTGTCAGAAAGTAGAGCTTGCTCACATACCTCTTTGTCCTGAAGAACTTTGTACCTTTGAAAACAAAGTGTCAAGGAAACTAGGAAGCTACAAGAGGTCATGGTTATAAGTGATAAATTGTTTTATTACATTTTAAATATTTAAAAACTAGAAATAAGAAGTTAGAAAATTTGGAGAGGACAAGCAACATGGTTTCTGACAATGAAAAATGGAGCAGTTTAAATAACAAAACATTGAAGTATAAAACAACTTCTTCTCATCACTAAGCATAATTAAAAAAAATTCAAGCCATTAGCAAAATGTCACAACATAATTATGTATTATTTCAGCTATAAAAAAACGTTTTTGGTTTTTTTTTGTAATATTCCCAGAAAGTGAAACGTTGTTTTTTTTTTTTGTAATATTCCCAGAAAGTGAAAGGATACCACTGCAGGTTGCCACGAATAATCCTCACATTCCTGAAAGAAAATATAAGTAAAGATATTATAATTGCTCCAGTTGTGTGTAGGAGTTGTGATATTCTTTAATTATACAGTGGGATTACTGAATCAACTAACCTCTGATGGTAAATATGCTGGATGACATACTTCCATATTGACTTTCCTGTCCCAACACAAAGCCTGGAAAAAAATGAAGGCCGCTATTAGAGAAATGCTGCAACTTCAGGTCATTTGCAGATCGACTTATTAATGTGAGTGGCTTTTGGGCCGGCTGACACGTACGTTTTCAGATAACTGTCATTAGGCAGGCTCTCCGGGGGAAGCTTGAACTCCTCTGTTGCCCAACGCTTCAAGTCCTGCACCAGGTTTCTGTCCGCCATCCCGTTTCCTGACGCAGATATAAGAAGAGGCTGTACGTTAATATTTTCAGCTAGCGAAGTTTACTTTAAGGTATTACCCACTGCCTAATACATCAGATATTTGACCTTACATCTAGATATTTCCTCTCTATATTAAAATGTCCCCATGTCTATACAACAATATTTGTATAAAAACATTAAACTTACCGCCGTAAGATTCACTTCCGGTTGTTGTGAACACTTCCGGCTTGGATGACGATGTTTCTTAAAGTCATATTGCCTTTATTTTACTTTTTTTTTTTTACTTTTTTTTTTTACAAGAAGTTATATTTTTAACATGAATCCATAGAGGTAAAATCGCATCATTTATAGACTCAAAGTAAAGATTGTCCAAAAGTTAATAAGAGGCAGGCAGGCTATAAGAAATACAAAAAATA